AGTCTGGGTCACACTGTAACCCTACAGCCCAGAGATCACTGGTCCAGTCTGGGTCACACTGTAACCCTACAGCCCAGATCCCGGTAACCCCTAGAGCCAGTTACTGTGACAGAGCCATGTGTCCAGCACGCTGGCCCTCACCGCTGTGGATGCCGATCCTCAGTTTGAGCTGCTGGTCGGGTCGGTGCCGGATCCTGAAGGAGCGCACGGCCTCCAGCAGCGCCAGCGACATGCGGGCGATCTCCCGGGCGTGCAGCTTGCCGTTCCGCACGGGCAGCCCCGACACCACCATGTAGGCGTCACCGATCGTCTCCACCTGGAGACAGCGGCAATCAGGAAACGCTTACTGGCGGACCCCACCGATCCCCCATCAATAATCCGCGCTCAGTCCCAGACGGAATCACGGCCGGCACTACGCTGATTGATCCACCAACGCCGCGGACTACTTTTCCATATTGTGATCAAAAATTGCAACAGAGCCCGAATCATGATCCAGGATCCCAGACTGTTCTCCCCCTTGCACTCCGGCAAGCAGCACCACACCATTAAACCATTACAACACTGGGCTTTAAAACAGCCTCCATGCTACAGCAGTGTGCATCATTAACTGCTAATTGCACAAAGCCTCAGAGTTCAAGGCGCCTCTACACTTGGCACTTTCTGACCACAGATCTACTGTCCTGTGTGTTAATTGCTCTGTGCTATCTGTTATATGTTGTGCTTTGTTGTCCTGTCACTATAGTCATTCAATATGATTATTTTCTGTTTTGTAATGTGCAGGCTGCGTGAGAGTGTTGCATGCTGTCCTGTGCACGTCCCGAGAGAACAGCGCGACTATGAATCCCAGTGTACTTGTACACGCAAACAGGTAAAGGCGTTTCGGCTTTGGAGCCCTCTCCAGCTGTGTGTTTATTGCTCTGTGCTACCCGTTGTGTGTTGTTGTGCGTGTTGTACGTGTACATAAACCCCTCCCTCTCTCGAATGAATAATGGCTGCTCAGCAGTATGGCAGAGCGGTGGAGAGTGCAGGCCTCCTCATCAGGAGCCACACTGTAGATAAGCAGCGGTCACTGCTGGACAGACTGGTGTGGGAGGCAGTGTTGAGTAATGTGACGCGGTGCTGGCTCGAGCCGCCATGGTGAGGACAAGCCACAGCGCTGGGGACCGGCTGGTCCTGATCTGCTGCAGGGCGGTACTGTGTGCTACCTGACTCGACCTGCAGGGGGCGGCGTGCTGTGACGATGCATTGAGAGGCTGGGCTGTACTTTACTCAGCTTGTGTAGCAAAGAGTCTTAGGAGGGGAGAGAAAGGGGACGAGACAGCTTTGACTCTTCCTCTACAGATCCCAAAAGACACAGTGCACGGCTCCTGCCTGTTACCTTGTACACGTCGAAGTTGTCAATGATGGCGTCGAAGCAGGTGTAGAGGTCATTGAGCAGAGTCACGACCTGGGACAGAGAGACGGGGGAGACAGTAAGTCAGCATGCTGCTGTCTCTGTGAGCTGATGTCAGAAGGTGTATGACATTATCGCCCGGACAGGCGTGCGCAGTACCTGCATGGGGGTGCTCTCGGCAGACAGGGCGGTGAAGCCCACAATGTCGCTGAAGTAGATGGTGACGGAGTCGAAGGCTTCAGCCTGCACTGTCTCCCCTCTTTTCAGCTGCTCCGCCACTGAGCTGAGACACACAGAGGGCTGTCAGTCCCCATGGAGCTTTTTTCTTAGCAACATATTCCTCCTGGGAAACTGCCCTAGCTGTACTCGGGAAACCCTCCCCTCATAGCTCCTCTTCAGCAAGAGACCCTGCCCAGGCCCCGCCCGCCTCCAATTAGCCATGGCCCTAGCTTTGATAGCCCCTCCCTCTTCTCCTCCTTGGCCCCACCCACACTCCCATAACAACAGACATGCTAATCGCCAGTGCAGCAGGAGTAATCAACTCTAAAGGATTGCTTGCGTGAATGGCTAACAGCTGACCATAGTAAACTGCTGTCCCCTTTGTTCTGTACAGAAACAGACCATTTTTTTCCTGTTATTGAATGCTATTCCACAGGCCCACTCTCCCAGCACTGACGTATAAATTGCATCACACAGCACAGTTACTCCACGCATTGAACATGCTCATCACGCTGTCCTTCGTGCGTCTTGCCTTCTCACTGTGCATTCTGGAGACTGACCGTGCCTTTACCATGACTGTTCTGCTCTGTGATACCTTTGATATCTCATGGCCCTTTGCTGAGAAAAGAGCAGCACTGTCTGGACTAGTGGCGGTGCGGGGGCGCTCCTGCCAGGGGCACTCACTGGGGCAGGATCTGGTAGAGCAGGGCTTCCGCCTTGCGCTTCTCCTCCAGGTAGGCCTGGGTGCGCTCCTCCACCAGCTCCTCCAGGTTGTTGGCGTACTGCTCCATCCGCGACAGCAGATTGTCCAGGATGTTGGTCCTGCTGTCCCTGGGAGGAGAGAGCTGCAGGTCAGAGCTGGGGGAGGTGTAGTACAGTGTAGTACAGTGCAGAAAGGTGTAGTACAGTGAAATATAGTGCAGTAAGATGTGATGCAGTGTAGTGCAGTGCAATAAACTGTAAATAAGTGCAGTATAGAGGAGTAAGGAGCAGAGCAATGCAGTACAGTGGAGTAAGGAGTACGGCAGTGCAGTAAGGTGCACTACAGTGGAGTAGGAGCAGAGCAGTGCAGTATGGTGCAGTGCAGTACAGTGGAGTAGGAGCAGAGCGGTGCAGTGCAGTACAGTGGAGTAGGAGCAGAGCAGTGCAGTATGGTGCAGTGCAGTACAGTGGAGTAAGGAGCAGAGCAGTGCAGTATGGTGCAGTGCAGTACAGTGGAGTAAGGAGTAGAGCAGTGCAGTATGGTGCAGTACAGTACAGTGGAGTAAGGAGTAGAGCAGTGCAGTATGGTGCAGTGCAGTACAGTGGAGTAAGGAGTAGAGCAGTGCAGTAAGGTGCAGTGCAGTACAGTGGAGTAAGGAGCAGAGCAGTGCAGTACAGTGGAGTAAGGAGCAGAGCACTGCAGTAGCTCAGTGCAGCAGTAGGGCCCAGTGCACACAGACCTGTTGAACTTGCGCAGCAGGATCTTGATCTGGTGGAACTCGGGGCGCTCCACCGTGTCCTCGGCCCAGCAGCGCTGCATCAGCTGGCCCAGCTCCTCGCTGTGGCACTGCGGGTTCACTGTGGGGCGCAGGTATGGCCACTCGCCCAAGGTCACGCGGTCGATGATCTCTGAGGGGAGAGAGTGAGGGATGCAGGGCTGTGGAAGCGGTATGCTGACTCACACAGAGAAACACCCACATGATGCTGACACATTACTGATATTACTCAGACACCGCGAGGAAGCAGTACAGGAGGCATCCAGAATGTTAGCATATAGCTAAGGCTGTAGAGTTTAAAATTTTTTTAAAAAATTGCTCTAGAAAGTATCCAGTTAGTACAGTACACTAATAAGATTCCATTTAGGTTACTGTGGACGATGTTCGGAAACAGAAGCTCTGGAATCAGTTCAGAGAAGACTGACAAGATACATGCCAGGGCTTGAAAGATTGTCCAGCCCGGACAGGCAAAGGGAACTGAATCGCTAGAGTCTTGAACAGTCTAGCAGCCTACGAGACCTGATTCACAATAACAAAGTCAGCCCTCCGGACTTCTTCAGCAGCAATGGTGCAACACAACCCAGAGGACACAGCAGGCAGAGGCCATGACTTACAGAGGTCACTGACCAGTGGGAGGACAGAGGTGGAAAGAGTGGAACAGGCCCAGTGATGACCAGAGTCCCCCACAAAGCGGAGCTCAGACTCCCCAGTAATTCAGACCCTGAAATTGAACCTTTATTCTGTATAAAGGCTATTTGCTAATTTGATTAATATTGCTTATTAAAAATGATTAATTATTTAACTGTTGGTCAATGGTACTTTTTTATTGCCTACTATGAAAATAGACAAATACACTCAGCAATACAGGGAAGGACACAGACATGTACACTGTAACACAGAGAGACAGAAACACAGACACTGACACAAACCAAACACTGACACACACGAGCACAGATGCACCGCTAGGCACAGAAGGACAGGCACACACACGGGACACACATGAGCAGTGCCACTCTGCAGCGGGTCTGCTGTCTCTGTCCTTATCTGTGCCCATCTCCATTAGCCTGGCAGCCGGCACAGGATGTGGAGGAAATTCAATCTGGCCTCAGCCCAGCGCCCGGCTGCAGGTCATTAACATTTCCTTAATGCAATTGGCAACGCCGCGTATTGATTCAATATTTCGAGGAAATGTGATTTCTCCCGCCTGAAGGCTGTGCGCAGCCCTGGGCAGATACACTTATAAAAAACCCTCCCATAGCTAGCAGGCTGTGCTCTTGCGATGTCCACCAGAGGAGGAGGCCTGTCTGTCTGCTGGACACTGACCCCAGCGTGTGATGGACAGCCCCTCAGTATTTGTCTGTCTATCCACATATCTGTCTATGTATTTATCTCTGTATCTGTGTATCTCAGTCTGTCTGTACAGTATCTGTATGTCTATGAATCTTATGTTATGTTTCTTTATTAGCCCTATACAATTTCTTGCATTAGGAATGCGTCTTTTCGCATACCCCAGCTTTTCTCCAGGGAGACACAGACACAGAGACAGGGAGAGAAGCTTGGGGTCAGAGCGCAGGGTCTGCCATTGTACGGCGCCCCTGGAGCAGTTGGGGTTAGGGGCCTTGCTCAGGGGCCCAACGGAGTAGGATTCCTCTGCCGGCCGCGGGATTTGAACCGGCAACCTTCCGGTCACAGGCGCAGATCCTTAGCCACAGAGCCACCGCTCCGCCCCCAATCTCAGTCTCTCTGTATCTGTACAGTATGTCTGTGAATATCAGTCTCTCTGTCTGTTGATCAGGTGTTCCTATGCTCTGTTGTCTGTTGCCCAGTGTGCCACTGTCAGTGTCCAGTGTCCTGCTGTGGTTTTAAACAGAGCTCTGATTTTGACCATGTTGTCTGTGACTGGTGGTTGACATCACGTCTCCTGGACTTGTGGACAATGGAGGCGCTTCCTTTTGCATCCGCTTAGTTTTGCTTGAAATTTGCCACCTGATTTCCGTGTTTTGTCAGGCCGAGAGAAAGCCGCTCAGAAAGAGGACCAGCTCTCACCGGAGCTGAACCCCGTGAACTCCCGTGCCCAGCAACAGAGGGGGCAGCATGGCTGAAGAGAATGTAGGAGGCTTCAATGCCTGTTGGTTACAGCTTCACAGGCAAGAAGCTGACAAGCTCTACCACAGGAGCTGCAGGCAAGGCGATTCATCCTTGTCCATTTTTCAGACAGGACGTCACGCAGACGGGAACAGATTCGCCAGGCTGGAAAGTGAGGCTCAGGGGGCCTGGAGTCTGAAACGGAGAGCCCTAGGTACAGGGCACAGAGAGAAACAGGCCACCTGGGCCCATCACTCTCACTTCCCCAGCATCTTCCTGGCTGTGAGCCACAGGGCCGCGGGGTACAAGGGCAGAGGCCAGCCTGCGCCCCCGTGCAGCCCTGAGCAGGCGACAGCTCTCGCTGTCCTGATTCAATCTGCTGCAGCACCATGACATTCTTCTTGGCCGCTGTTCTCTACATAAAAGGGAGGAACTCAGACGGCCTGCAGGGTTTCATTTGTGCTATATTGCTGCACTGCTAACACAGGTAATTACTCTACTCCCATTTTATTCTGAAAGTCATTGCCAGGGCAAATCCCCTGGTGAACAGCGGCACGGCCCTCGCTAAGCAGGAGAAAGAAGATACCGTGTCCGGTGGACACACTGTCACGCTCCCTGAAGGGATGAGGAGTGAACACACGGGATAATACTGCTGGCAAAGAGATTCCAGATCCGTTTGGTCCCGATTGTGAAACAGAACCCAACGATGCAAGGGGAAACTACAGGGACGTGCATCAAAAAAACGTGCATCAAGAGTATAGCTGAGTCTCCCACCTTCCGGGGAAAATGAGGGAAAAAATGAAAGACCCAGTGAAGTGCAAGACTAGAAACAGAACACCCCTGGGCTGAGACAGGCCCTTTAAAACAGTCCTGACGGGGGGGGAATTGTAAATGAACACACAGATAGAGAGGGATGGCACTGGCTTCCATGGCAACCGTGTACTGGTCCTGGTACCTGGTGCTGGGGTGCCCAGGTATAGCCTGCCCTTCTTGGGGAAATGCAGGGTGGGGTTTAGAGAGAGATTGGGTCCTTTCACTCCGTCCTCTAGCCTCCAAGACTCATCAGAGCCACTCTAACCCTGGAGCAGAGAATTTCAAACAAACCCACCCAGGTACCCAGAGCGCTGGCGGATCTCTCCTTCAGACAGCAGCGCCGCTCACCGGCCCCCTCTCAAGCCATTAAACAGGGCCTGACAGATACGCTCCCGCAGAAGGCTGATTCTGACGTCCAGGGGCTCGAATGTTGCGGGGTGAGGGTATCGGCGGGGAGGCTGACCTTTGGGGCTCAGTAGCTCCCCCTCCAGGTAGAAAGCCCCCCGGCGCAGCGCGATCTCCTGCAGGATGATGCCGAAGCTGTAGACGTCGCCCTTCTGCGTCCCGCTGGGGAGGGGGCCCTCGGCCCGCAGCAGCTCCGGGGCGCTCCACAGCTTCCCTGGACAGGGACAGAGGGCGGGAGACAGGCTGGATCAGGCCCGCAGAGGAGCTGGGACTCTCGCCGGGGCGGGGGCGCGCGGGACACTCACGGGCGTAGAAGGAGTGCGCGTCGTCGCACTCCGCCTCGCTGCGGAAGCTGGCCAGGCCGTAGTCGGTGATCTTCAGCACGAAGCGGCTGTCCACCACGCAGTTGGAGGACTTGAGGTTGCCGTGGGACACGATGACGCTGTTGTGCAGGAACTCCATGCCCTGGCGAGGGGGGGAGAGGGGGAGAGAGGTGGGAGGGTGAGGGGAGAGGGAGAGCGCGAGGGCCAGATGCCGGAGTGGGCCCGCCTCCGTTCCCGGCTCACCTTGACGATGTCGTTGATGAGGGAGTACCGGAAGATCCAGTCCAGGTTGATGCTCTCGTTCTCCATGATGTCCTGAGAGACACACAGCGGGGGGGCTCAGCGGCCGCAGTCACGAGACAGTTTTAACTGGGGCTCTTTAAGGGGGTAAGCAATTCTATTATCATATTTCGGGGTTGGAAAGAATCAGCACTGATGAGTGCATTTCAAACTGCCATGAGAGTAAAATGTTCACGGTAACTCGCAAAACCACCCGTTTCCATCCCAAAACAGACACAGTTTCCAGGTGCTATGTGCCCTGCGCCCTGTTCTGTGACTCAGAATGACATGCTGCGGTCCTATGACACTGTAAACAGGCAGGCTTGTGAATACATCTCTCTTAACCCACTAGGAACACTGCTCTGGATTTCGAGAGGGTTTTGCTGACAAATACTACTTGCATGTTTATTTACAGCTCTGCGTGCAGATCACGTTTCTGTGGTGAAATGCCTGCCGCACAAGCTGTCCTTATTCGCTTGTATGTCAAAATGTGTCGATTCCTTCTAGAGCGTCAACAAATTTTTTTTGTTACCGAGATGAAATAACCAGTGTGAGAAATCGGGACTGCGGTCCCCTTGATGCAAGTGGAGTTCCCGATTCTTGTCTTATCATTAAAGCATCCAGGGGTGTGCCTTTCGTGCTGGTCGGGGTCAGGCTCCCACAGTGTGCACACAGCGTTCACTCACACCCTGGCCACAATGTTACGACCACGCACGGCACCTAATTAATCCAATCATGTGATTAATCCCTCACACCTGTCCTCCTCACTATTTAAACCTTCACTTCCCACTTCCCGACGCCCGGAGTTGGAGTTGCTCACCCTGGTGAGCACTTCACTACGGTAAACTCTTTCCGCACGCTTTATCCTGATTAACTCTCCTGGCTTTTTGTCTCTTGGATTATCGCTTTTTCGGACTTCTCTTTCGGATCTGTTTGTTCCTCGAAACCGGACTAAGCACCGCATAGGGTTCTTCTTCCTTGACGGCCTCGGCCCGTGACACACACAAGCCACAGAAACCCTGAGCAAGTCCTTCCTGCCCTGCGGTACCTGCAGGCTGCCCCGGGGGCAGTATTCGGTGATGATGCAGATGTTGGGTGGGTCAATACAGGCGCCGATGAAGCGGGTCAGGTGCTCGTTCTGGACATCTTGCATCTACAGGGGACAGGAAGGACGAGGGTCAAGGGGCAGGCTGGCAGACACTCAGACGGCACGTGCCTGGCATTGTCTCTGTCAGGCACCACCTGGGAAACACTACCCTTTTGATTGCCATAGAATAATCAATACTAGACACAAACCAGTGGCATGATGGCAAATGACATGTCCTCCTTTCTGTGCTCATAGTCATACTGAACACTGACTGCTAATCTCCAGTACTGCCCACTGCTCTCAGGTCAACAGGCATGTTGTGTAGTAATCAAATGATTAACTCCTCTGCCTTGACTACCTATCTATCTGTATCTGCAGGTACAGGTCATTTTTAGCCACACCCCTCCCCTACCACTCTATGTGTAAAGAAGATCTTCTTCTCACTGGTGAGCCTGGGACTGGATACTCACATGCTTCAGTTCAAACAGCACCTTCCTGGTCAGCTCGATGCGTTTCCTGTTGATGTATTTAATGGCCACAATGTTCCCCTGCAAGCCAATAGCACTCAGTTTAGTCTCTTGTTAGCAGACCATTGAGGAGAATGCTAGCAAAAAAAGACATGTGTAAAATTGCCTCTAGCGTAAATTTCTATGACATAGTTGACTGTCCTTGTAGTAGCCTAATCCATATTAAAACCCATTTTTTACCCTTTATAAAAAAATACTGTGGGATGCCATTGTAAAACCTCAGTACACTACAGTAAAGCCCAGCACGATCAGGATAAAAGCACAGTACAGAGCAGTACAGCCCAGTGAGATCCGGGTAAAAGCACAGTACAGAGCAGTACAGCCCAGTGAGATCAGGATAAAAGCACAGTACAGAGCAGTATAGCCCAGTGAGATCAGGGTAAGAGCTTAGTACAGTGCAGTAAACCCCCTGTGAGACCAGGGTAAAAACACAGTACAGTGCAGTAAAGCCAAGTGAAATCATATGAACACAAAGGTGTTATAGTAAAACCAGATACAAACTGTGGGGAATCCGTAGCAAAGCCAAGCCAGTGGAGTTCAGCCTAGTTAGATGAGGAGACTGAGATCATGCCATGCAGAAGGGCCAGCAGCCTTCCTGGGATAGAACATTCCACAGACTGAACTTCTTACCTTGTAGCAGCCAGTCTTTGCGAAGATCTGGAAGTTGCCCTCTGTAGTCAGGAGAGACCCATAGTTCGACCCCCTCTGTGAGACACATGGAGTCTTTCGGTCAGTGCTGGCCTTCTCAGACACTGGCCCCCTGCTCTAAACTGGACCACCTCAGGGCGTTGTGACTTCTACCTTCTGTGCTTCTTAATTAGGAAACAAGCTCAGCTGCTTACAACCTCTTGCATCAGTTAAGATGCTAAACGCTTGTTGTGGTGGGGACGCTGTTGTAATGCGGACAGCGAGCTGACGGATGCCTTGCTGATGTTGATGTCCTGTCCTGCAGCTTCCAGATTAGGAACACGTGAGAGTTTTGGATTCATTCAGCGGGACAGCAGCGCTGCCCGGCCAGGAGAGCCCAGCTCTGGCCTCGCGGGCCGTGGGCAGCTGACACACACTCCCACGGCTGCGTTCTCAGCTCTTGGCCTGAGTGACGCGACACTGGAAGACAAGGGACGGGCAACTTCAAGTCCCAGACACCAGAGACCTGCAGCTACGTTGCAGTTAGTAACTAATACAGACCCAAAAAGAGCAATGGTGCCCACATGGGGAGAGAAAGCCACAGGCCCTGAGATCTGGAGCCACCTGACCTGACTGAAGGCCAGACTATGACTGGATTGTGGATCTAAGTGGGCCAGAATTTCAGGAAAGCCCCATTTTTTTAATTAGTCTTCCAGGCCCAGACAATTCCCCCAGATGCCTGGACAATCCCATTCCACCATGTCCTGAGTACTTGGTGGTCGGGGGGGGGGGGTACCTAATATTTTGGCTAGGCAGAGACCTTGGGCTCTCTGTGTGTTACAGAGACTATGTGGAGTCAAGGAGTGCTGTGTGTTTGGTCTGTGTTTGTGGGATCATTGCATTACTATCATCCCAGGAAGACAAGAACTCCTGAGACTTGGGACCTCCTAGTTAGATGTGTGTCTGTGTGTGAGTGTGTGAGTCTGTGTTTCTGTGTGTAGATGTGTGTGTAGTTGTACGTACAGAAGATGCGTGTCTGTGTCTGTGTGTGAGTCTGTGTTTGTGTAGATGTATGTAGATGTGTGTGTGTGTCTGTGTATGAGTCTGTGTTTGTGTAGATGTGTGTCTGGGTCTGTGTGTGTGTGCCTCACCAGGGACAGGGTGAGCTTGCTGCCTGCGCTGCGCAGAGTCTTCTCCATGTTACTGATCTGAATGTCCTCCCAGTGGATCCTCCACAGCTCTGCTGCCAGCTCATTCTCCAGCTTCAGCTTCCTGGGGGAGAGAGACAGGACGCTGTTCTCACACATCGCCAGCAGGGGGAGCTCCAAAGGGGCTCTGCCTGTGAAGTCTGCCAGTGTAACTGGATGCAGTGATAAATATCCCGCGCGAATGAGGGATGATGCTGAAGTGCCCCCCACAGGGGAACCTCTTATAGCACTCTGCCTGCAGCAGCTGAAACTGTCACAAGCACAAAACCTGTCCCAGTTCGGAAGTGATCTCACTACCTGCACAGGTTCTTTAAAAAGTTGCTTTTCTAAATAGATGTTTAAATTGTGAATTGCAACTTGGTTATTTAGGTTTAAGTGTTATCAGCTGTTGTTTTTCTCCCAGTTGACTAGGGTCTGGAGCTGGAAATCGGCCTCCGTCTGTGTTAAAAACTGTAAGTGTCCCCGTGAGACACAGTAAATAAAAGTTGTTTTTCTGGCTGCTCTGCTCAGGACTGCCCACAGGGGGCGCCACAAGCCACAGCACGCGCTGACCTGTATATGAAGACTGCGATGATAGTGCTGAAGAAGAGGAAGAAGCCGATCAAGATGGTCATCACCTGGAGCATCGGCAGGACTCCTGGGAACAGCCAAGAAAACAGAGACATTTACCCCCCTGTTCACCTGCTCTGGTTCCTATTGCCCTGTTGGAAGAAGCTCACGGCTGGGGCCCCACACAGCTTGAGCTGGCACTTGTCTGGCCAACTCCCAGCTGGCAGCCCACTGGAGCCCAGCACTGTGAGCCTGGCCCGTCCCTGGAGGGGAGACTCCTGGGAAAGCTGAGGCTGCTGCAGGAAGAGGTATTAGTGGGACCAGTAGGGGGCGCTCACCCTGCGGTCTGTGTAGGTCCTAATGCCCCAGTACAGTGACAGGGGCGCTTTACTGTAAAAAGGCGCCATCCTTCAGATGAGACGTAAAACCAAGGTCCTGACTCTCTGTGGTCATTAAAAATCCCAGAGTGTTTCCCGAAAAGAGTGGGGGTGTTACCCCTGCAACCTGGCCAGATTCCCCCTGGCCTTTACCAGTCAGGGCCTCCTAATAACTGAACTGTCTTCAACCCTGCTCTCCTCACCACTGAGAGCTGGTGTGTGGGGAGTGTACTGCAACCCTCGCTGGCTGCCGGCACATTAGTCTAGGATACTTATCAAGCCCTTTAAATCTACTTAAATCCTGGTTGCTGTTTTTCCTAGTGAGCTCTAAACCTGCAAGTTATCCCGTGGGAATCTGTCAGAGTGGTTTTTCTGTTCACTCCGAGTTGGAGTGGAGCTGGAGGCGGAGGGGGTCCCGAGACAGGGCACGGGCCCACCTGAGTGGCACTCGTCGTTCTTGAAGCCGCAGAGCGGGATGTCGCGGGGCGGGCTGCCGTCCCCCGGCCACTGGAATCTCACCCCTGGCACCTGGCTGATGTTCTTCTCCGTGCCATTGTACACGAACACCACCTGCGGGAGACGGGAGCACAGCCCTCAGCAACACGGCAGCTCTCCTGCTGGCTGGCCAGTGTTACTGCATCTCTGCTGCCCTGATCTCACTGGGCTGTACTGGTCTGTACTG